AGAGCCATGAATTCCAGGTATAGCTAATTGGACTAGGGTAGGCCCTGGATAGCCAGTAATGATTTTTTTTTAAATTTATTTTATTTAATTTTTTAAGTTTTATTTTTTAAAGATTTTATTTATTTCTTTGACAGAGATAGAGAGTGAGAGAGCACAGGAAGGGAGAGTGGCAGAGGGAGAGGAAGAAGCAGGCTGGGGCTCAATCCCAGGACCCTAAGATCACCACCTGAGCCAAAGGCAGATGCCCAACCGACTGAGCCACCCAGGCGTCCCTTATTTTATTTTTAAAAGATTTTATTTATTTATCTGAGAGAGAGAGTGAGCACAAACGGGGTGGGGGGAAGGGACAATGGGAGAGGGAGAAGCAGACTCCTCGCTGAGCAGGGAGCCCAATGCAGGGCTTGATCCCAGGACCCTGGGATCATGACCCAAGTGGAAGGCAGACACTTAACCAACTGAGCCACCCAGGGGCCTGGATTTTTTTTTTTTTAAATCAGAAGTGATAAAGTGATGATATAAATGAAGAGAGGATGACAGTGGGAGTACCCATCTGGAGACCATTAAGTAGGCAGGCAGGCAGAGCTACAGAAGACCTGAAGTAGTTGTGACCATGGGTATAGAGATCGTTCTACATCTCCACAGTTGAGAGAGATTTAGATTGCACTAGGGAGAATCTGCTTTACTGAGTAGATCTAAGGAGTACCTCTAAGGGAAGATGGGAAAAGAGAAAGCACACAAGACTTAAGAATTTTCAGCTAGGGCATAGGAGTGACCATATGCTTTAAATTTCATAAAATTCAATGATTGGGTCTTATTTTTTAATTCCTTTGAACTGTTTGTGTTATATACTGTTGGTTCAGGAAAATTAGGGTTACTGGGAGAATGGTTGATAGGTTTAGTATTTCCAGGTGTTCTTTTCATTTTAGAAACCAGACAATTCTCCAATAAATAATCTGTGTAGTAAGAAGCTATTGTCCACTCCTAGAGGCTCTTTCTGTCTTTTCTATCATCCTGCTTTTTGGGTAGTAAAATACACAGAATCACTCTTTAGTGGTACACACACATTCCTCTGCCTGGTCACTTATCCCGGCCAAATCTCCTATTTTCCATACTCAAAGGGTACAAAACATTTGCTTTGTTTTCTTCCATCATAAAAGAATACCCTATTGCTCTTTTTAAAATTGTATATAATGTGCTGGATGATGACACTGAAAGGAAATGAAAAGAGCATCATCGTGAATGTTGCTGTTAACAAGGTTCCGCACCTGATTGTTTATGTAATTTCTTCCATTTGTTATTCAGCCGTAATGAGTTTCTAGAAAAAAAACGAGGCTGCATTCAGGGTCATTTTCAAGGGGGGATGCTGTTAATAGAGGAAATTCGTGTCCTAACAGCAATGTAGTAATGTAACTGTCAACAGTTTACTAAATAATCAGGTGTGTCTGGCATGTTGTTTTGTAGCTCTTGTATGAGCATTGTTAGGGAAAAAAAAAATAATGCTTCTCTGACGTGTTGTGTCTCCTTGCTATGAGACTGACTTCACACATAGATATGATGCATTTTCTGTTGAGTTCTCCCCATCCTTGGAACTTTGAGGGCTTTCTGCTTGCTGGTAGACAATTCTTTACATGTTCTTCAGGAGCTTTAGAAATTCTTACTCATTCTAGGGGCGCCTGGGTGGCTCAGTCGTTAAGCGTCTGCCTTCAGCTCAGGTCATGATCTCAGGGTCCTGGGATTGAGCCCCGCATCGGGCTCCCTGCTCAGCGGGAAGCCTGCTTCTCCCTCTCCCACTCCCTCTGCTTGTGTTCCCTCTCTCACTGTGTCTCTCTCTGTCAAATAAATAAAATCTTAAAAAAAAAAAAAAAGAAATCCCTATCATTCTAAATCTGTTCACAGGGTACTGCATTATCCTGGGTACAGTTGACATACAACTTGTAAGACTTAAACTACCTTATGCAAAAGAAAAAAATTATACAACTAACATTTATTCCATAGATTCTATGTTAGATATGAAAAGCAAGATGCCCCCCCCCAAAAAAAGAAAAGCAAGATGCCCAGCACATGCCCGATTTGTAAGTTTACTTAGAGTATCTCCATTTTCACTGATAAGGAAATCTAGGCTCAAAAAGTAATTTATTTGCGGTCACACAGCTGTCACCAGATGCAGGATTCAACCCAAGTATTACTCCAAATTTACTCCAAATTTGTTCTGGTTCCTATATTATAGTTATCTGTTACTATTAGTGTAGCAGGAGTTCAAATGACTTAGTGTAGGACTTGGTGTAGGTTGGAATAATTAGAGAAATCATCATGGAATAGACTAGTAAAAAAAAAAAAAAGAGGGCGCCTGGGTGGCTCAGTTGGTTAAGCGACTGCCTTCGGCTCAGGTCATGATCCTGGAGTCCTGGGATTGAGTCCCGCATCGGGTTTCCTGCTCAGCAGGGAGTCTGCTTCTCCCTCTGACCCTCTTCCCTCTCGTGCTATCTCTCATTCTCTCTCTCTCACATAAATAAATAAAATCTTAAAAAAAAAAAAAGAAAGAAACATGGGATACATGGGAGAAGATCAGACCTGGAGGCAGGTAGTCCTAAAATAATATAATAGTAATAAACAACTCTGGAACACTTACTATGTACTAGGCACTGTTTAAATATATTCACCTATTTAGTCCTCACAACAACTGTATGAGAAAGGGATGGTTATTATTTTCATTTTGCAGATGAGGAAACCGAGGGGCTATAGGGAGGTTGACTCTCACCTGAGGTCACACATTAAGTCAGTGTGGGATCCAGATGAGAACTCGTTTGTTTGATTCCAGAGCCTGTCATATGGGCGATGAAAAGGAAGGGGCAAAGACCTGAGCTGAGATCAAGAGTCAGACACGTAACTGACTGAGCCACCCAGGTGCCCTGACACAAGTGACATTTAAAAATAAGCCACTTCATCCTATTATCCCTAGTTTGAGAACTTTCAGTAGCACCTTCTTATCCATCTCCCGAGTCCTTCAGCCTGCCTCTCAGGACACCAGACTTGACCCTCTTCCTGCCCAGCATGGTTTCCCCCAACGTGGATGCTCATTTCTGTGACACATGATGATGAGGTCACCTCACTGTGCCTTCTAATGTCTTGATTCTTTTCTACCTCTGTGCTGTCTCTCTCTCTTCACCTAATGGAATCCTTCAAAGCCCAGGGAATGTCAGTCTCATCCACACTCTTGGTACTGTTCATTCTCCTCTGTCTGCTTCAGTGATTTCTCCTTGATCTTTATATCTTCGGCACATATTGTCAGCACTGTGTATTTTGGCACTTAATAATTTTGACAATGTAAGGTGGCAAAGCAAAGAAATCTGAATTTATAGTAGGTTTAGTTTTACAAAATACCTGGGTAGGGTATTTAGTCGGCAAATTGGGAATTTGTGAATTTTGTTTCTTATTAAGGAATAATTCTGCTTATAAAAGGAATTTCTAGCTACTAAGAGTATGAAATCGACCTCATTATTTTACAAATACTAAATGTTATTCTTGATTTTTGACACACATTGAGGATTGCTATGATTTTTAGAGTCCGTTAGAGTAATTAAAGAGTTTCCATGAGACATGAGTTATTTCTGGCATTGCCAAAGGGCTCTTCTCATAGTAATTCTTAACATTTCAGACCTGATTAGGCATTTTGTACAGCACAGATACCCTGTTAAATGTAACAGGATGACGAGTGGATTTGTTCCTGTTGTCCCAGAATTTCAGCTGGTCTCAGAGTGGAGGTCAAGGGCATTAAATACTCCATATTCTAAGGATGTCACCAGCAGCTCTAGGGGAGGAGTTATTTTCTTACTTCCAGAACCTGTCCTACCATCACCAGCCTCCACTGCACTCTAGACAGCTGGCTAAGTGGACTTTCAGCCGAGGAATGCAATGCCTGTGTCCTCTTCTTGATGACACCTGCAGTCCCTTTCTTTCCCTGGGTTCAGGGAGGAAAGCAGCTCACCCTCAATGCATCATCAGCTCCCAAGGCCAGCTCCCAAGTACTCCACCCTGTCCCCAGTCATCTTCATATATTGGTTGGAGTTGGAGCGAGGAGGGGTGTGTGGAAGTTAGGTTAACTGTGGTATTTCATAGCAAGTCTTGGGGAAACATGAGCCATGCTTATTCATTGGATGCTCTCTGTGGAAGACTGGGTCTGCCAACCTTGTCTACACATTGGAATCATCCAAGGAGCTGATCCCCAGGTTGTCCCTAAACCAGTTAAATCTCTTTGTGTGGGACTCCAGCATCAGTGGTTTTGAAAACTCTGCAGGTGATTCCAGTAAGCAGCCAAGATTGAGAATCACTGCTGTAAAATGTATGGGGATGGGGTGGGGAAAGGAGGGGGTATTTGGGGTCTTTTATTCCCCAGGTCTGAATCTTAGACAAATTTTTTTTTTAAAGATTTTATTTTTAAATAATCTCTGCACCCAGTGTGGGGCTCAAACTGACAACCCGAGATCAAGAGTCTCATGCTGCACCAACTGAGCCAGCCAGGTGCCCCGGAAATTCTTTGAAAATAAAATATCTCACTCAGTATCTTGTTAAATAAACGAATACAAATGAAATAAAGGTTGTAGTTTGATTCATTTTGTTTTTCAGGTAAATACTATGTTTACCTTTATGTGAAAGATCAAGATTATATTTGGACTTTTTCTGAATGGTAAAACTTATAGTAAAGTGAAAAGAAGATTAATATGTCTTATTGGCCATTTTAAAAGCTGCATTTTATTGTCATACATTAAATGGGTTTCATCCCAGCAAAAGAATCTGACCAAAGCAACATCACTGGGATGGGCTAATAGCCCATCTGAATTGTCAGGAGGCACATATTAACAGTCTTATTCTAGCAAGTTTACTCCGGATCCTATTCTGACGGTTTGTCCTAAGAATTCAGCTATTTCACTGGGAATGTATGTACTTCTTAAAGGCACCATTTCATTAGCATCCTCATTTCCTTGGTTTTCTCACAGCTCGAGATGGCTGCCCAATGCGTTACGAAGGTGGAGCTGAATGTCTCCTGTGACAATCTTTTGGATATGGATGTAGGGTCGAAGTCGGACCCTTTATGTGTGTTATTTTTGAATACGAGCGGTCAACAGTGGTATGAGGTAATGTTAAATACTGTAGGTGAAAAGCAATCTGAATTGCTCTTTTGATAATGTGAAGCGCTTATTAAAACCGTTAAAAATAATGAAAACATCTCATCTGTTAATGCAGTTTTTTGGGGCAAGTTTGTCCTTGATTGTGGAATTTTTCATCTACATATAGAAACTTTCTTCAGCTGTCTGTTACGCTTATATTTAGTTACCTGTAGTACATAAAGATGCTAAAATGTAAGTGCTCTTTGATCTGAAGAAAATTTTTGTTTTTGGGGGTGAGTATAGGTTGATCGCACAGAAAGGATTAAGAATTGTTTGAATCCCACATTTTCCAAGACATTTATTATTGATTACTACTTTGAAGTGGTTCAGAAATTGAAATTTGGGATTTATGACATTGACAACAAAACCGTCCAGCTGAATGATGATGACTTCTTAGGAGAATTTGAATGTACCCTTGGACAAGTGAGTATAATTAGCTATTGCAGTATATTGTGTCTAAATTTTAACCAGAGAATTGGGCATTTTTTATATAAGTGCTCATTAGTTTAATTTTTAGGGTTGAAAAGTATATAATCACTTTACAGACCTGTTTCATATATTAGTATGTTTGGTTTGAACATTATAGAATTTATCTTATTTTTCCTAAGGGCAGGGACTGTTGTGTTTTTGGCAATGCCCATTAATTCTTTTGAGTTACAGGTGTTTCGTTTGACACTTCAGTAAATAATACCATTGCTCTAGCTGCTTTGTGTACTATTTGCAGATTTCAGTACAATTTTGTTCTTTTAAAAAAATTTTTTTTTAAAGATTTTATTTCCCAATGTATTTGAGAGAGAAGGTGTCGGGAGGGGCAGATGGGGAGGGAGAGGGAGAAGCAGACTTTGCACTGAGCGCAGACTCTGAGATCATGACCTGAGCCTAAACCAAGATTCAGAGGCTTAACAGACTGACCCACCCAAGCACCCCTACAATTTTGTTCTTATATTAAAGTCAAAATGCTTTCAAAGTAACAGCAACTTCTCTGATGTTCTTTTTTTTTTTTTTTAAGATTTTATTTGTTTATTTGAGAGAGAGAGAATGAACAAGCAGGGGGAGGGTCAGAGGGAGAAGCAGACTCCCCACTGAGCAGGGAGCCCGATGTGGGACTCGATCCCGGGACTCTAGGATCATGACCTGAGCCAAAGGCAGTCGCTTAACCAACTGAGCCACCCAGGCGCCCTTCTCTGCTGTTCTACGTGACTGATCCCTCTAGATCCCCGATGGCCCAACGCTGTCCCTTTACCTGGCTTGCTATTCCTCAACCTTGGGTACATCAGTGTAAGCCTTCCTCCCCGAGTAAGCCTCCTCTGACCCCCTTGAGTAGTTTGGAGTGACACTCTGTGCTCATCCTGGTACGCTCTACTGCTACCTTATCGTCCACCATCCATCCATAGTTGCTTAATTATCTGTCTTTCCTATATGACAGATTTGATCAGGGTAGAGGTGTGTCTGTAGGCTCACCATTTTGCTTCTATCTCAGAGTCTGACTCCTAAAGAGAAATCATGGGGCGCCTGAGTGACTCAGTTGGTTGTAAGACTCTTCATTTTGGCTCAGTTTGTGATCTCAGCGTCCTGAGATCCCGCTCAGCAGGGAGTCTGCTTGTCCCTCTTTCTGTGCTCTCCCCCCACCCCACCACGTGTTCCTCTCTCAAATAAATAAATAAGCAAAATCTTAAAAAACAATTAAGAGAGATCATGACCATTTGTAATAGAGCTGGAAAGGCCTCAGGAGGGAAGAGTCATTGTTTTTCAGCAGGTGACAGTGCTTAGATTTGTTTATTTTTCCATGTATTGTTTGGGGATCTTGGTATTTCCTGTGTCTCAAGGACAATATGAAGCTGAAGCTGATCAGTTTTCTAAAACTTTGATGAATAGTATCAAAGAGAAAATTAAACAAGTATTGATTTTTTTTTGGAAAAAAATCACATAGCTAAATTATAATGAATTTGATAGAGTTATCTATTTAAGAGTACTTAGGTCTACTATATTAATCAAAATGATATTTTGTGGGGGTTATATATTCAAGTTATGTGTCAGTTGAAAAACTGAATCCCATGTATTGAGTGTTCTGAGGCCCACCTCTTACCTACAGGGTTTTCAGCTCAGTGATTGGTATATGTGAAGAGAACCTGTCCCTCTTTTTCCATTACAGGGAAGAAGTTAAACTTTGAAGTAATTGATAAAGAAACTACTGGTTGGGGAGATTGTATCTGCCAGGACTAGCCCCTAGGAAATCTTTTCCAGTGGGTTTTAAATATGTAGATGTGTTTTATAATCTCAATCTTTAAGGCATGGACTTACTGTTTCCATTTCTGATGACTTAAGTTGACTTAACTTTATACTCAACTCTTTTTGAAATCATTCAGCTTAAAAATTCACATACTGAAGTGAAATAGCTCTTTGTATCACTTTCCAATTTTAACAGATTGTTTCTAGTAAGAAGCTAACTCGACCCCTGGTGCTTAAAAATGGCAGACCTGCGGGGAAAGGAAGCATTACGGTAACAATAAGATATTTGTCTTTTGCCTGAAAAGATTTAGCATAATAGGACATGCTGAAACTGTGCGTATCAGACAAATACTCTATAGCCATGCTTTGTCATTTGATCCTGAATGTTGCTTTTCATCTGTACTTGCCTTAAAATGATCACAAATGGGAAATATGTTGGGTCAAAAAGAAGGAGAAAAATGCAGTATGGGAATTCCTTCTTTGAGTCTTTAAGTTGCTCATGGAATCAGGTGCAGCTTGGTGATGCTTGCCTCTCCCCCATGGAAGTGTAAATCCCCACGTTAGAGAGAAATGACTTAATCATCTGAATGGATTAATTTGACCATCTACTAAGCAAACATAGTTCCCCCAAAAGGACAGAAACTCCATAATGGATTTCATCCCAAATGGATCTTATATTATGCCATGCCCATTGAACCTTTCAACTCTTTTTTTTTAAAGTTTTTATTTAGTTATTTAAGTAATCTCCATACCCAGTGTGGGGCTCGAACTCATGACCCGGAGATCAAGAGTCATATGCTCTTCCAACTGAGCCATCCAGGCACCCCTGAACCTCTCAACTCTTAACCATCTTTTTTGTGCTTGCGCTCTCCTGCCCATCCTCCCACTCAGATTTTTCCATTGCTAATTACTGGTCGTAGGCAAATGAATATATGCTTTATACTGTTTTAGATTTCAAATTACATAATGTTGTACTTTAAATAAGTATCTTTAAATAATAGGGTAAAATAATTATCTTCTATAGTTTCTGTCCAGATTATCACTGCCTGGAGCAATAGTTTCTAACTCTAGCTCTGTCTGAGAATGGAAGGGTGGCTCCCTCATGTTTGAGGGTTATTGTCATTATGAGGGCATTTCCCTAAGCAACTGTTTTGCTTTAGTTTAAAGAATGTTAAATGTCTTTGCGGTGTTGACTTTTGTGAGACAGAACATTATAGTAGTTAGCTCTATTGCTCTTGGGGGTCATGATAGCTTGGAATTTGCTTTTAACTATAGTAAGTTTTTCAGTGACATGGGATGAAAAATGTTGATCTCATATTTCAATTTAAAGTGTTCTTTAGGTATGATTTACTCACACTTTAGGTAGGGTCATGCAGTCTTCCGGGGCTTTGATTTTTCACTGGAATGGGGAAGATCCAGTTTGGGCAACAGCATTTGAAAAATAAGTTGCATAATACAGATTTGGCATATTTAGGGAAAATATTTTGTACACATAAAAGAAATAATGATCAATCTTTCTGAATGGTACTTTTTTCTTATCAAAGATTTAAAAATTCATTTATATTAGTACCGATTGTATCTATTATCAGGTAACAGAATAAATCAGTACTTCTGAGTTTGTCAGAACCCCTAAAACATATTGTCTTTCACTTACCTTATCTCCTCATAGATTTCAGCTGAAGAAATAAAGGATAACAGAGTGGTCTTGTTTGAAATGGAGGCAAGAAAACTCGACAATAAGGTGGGTAGTTGGCACGTTTCCACAAGGTTATCATGTTTTGCCTCACATTGATTCCTTTTTGAAAAAAATAATAATGCAATTAGTATTATGAACTCTATCATCTGAGCATCACTTAGAGTATTTAGTTACTTCCAAATTCTGCTTTTCTATGTATGTTTAAGCAGAAGCCATTTTCTTTTACCTCTTTCCTCTAGATATCAAAAGGCTTATCTAGATTAAAATAGGAGTTCTTAAGAGCATTAATGTTTTTGTAAAAGGCATTTGAGAGAGTATTGTTGGATTATCTTAAGGAAAGAAATAGAAATTCCATGCTCTATTGGATTTTTCTCTTTGCTTCCAAAAGTCAAGGTTTATTTTTAATGAAGAATGAGTACAGTACATAATAACAGAACAACTTAGTATATAGCATGAATTAGAATAATTCTTTGAGTGATTTTATACTTAATCACATAAACCAATCAGTATTTTTTTTTATCATTTTCATTTACCTTACAATTGAGTTTGCAAACATCTTAGACTAGTAGCCAGGGACTATTTTTATTTTGGAAAAATTTAAACATACAGAAATAGAATAGTCTTTAAAAAACCGTGCATGTCCCCATCATCCATCTTCAACACTTACAACTTATGGCTAATTTTGTTTCATCACCACCCCTATCTATCTTCTCTCCTTGAAGACATCATGTCATTTCATCTATAAATATTTTGGTGTATCTCCAAAGATTCTTTTTTTTTTTAAGCGATAGAAGTTTATTATGCAAGGATACAGAAAAAGCTCTCAGGAGTGAGAGGAGTCCCAACACGGTTGCTCTCCAAAGAGTCTTTTTTTTTTAAGATTTTCTTTCTTTGACAGAGAGAGATACAGCGAGAGAGGGAACACAGCAGGGGGAGTGGGAGAGGGAGAAGCAGGCTTCCCGCTGAGCAGGGAGCCGGATGCGGGGCTGGATCCCAGGACCCTGGGATCATGACCCGAGCCGAAGGCAGACGCTTAACGACTGAGCCACCCAGGCGCCCCTCCAAAGATTCTTTTAACAGTATAATTGTTTGGTATGTTTCAAGTCTTTTTTAATCCATAAATTTCCCCCTTTCTTTTGCTTCCTTCCTCCCTCCTTCCTTTGTTTCCTTTCATTTCATCCATCCATCCGTCCATCATGGAACTTACTCTATAAAGAAATGGACTCTGTCCTATAGAAGTTGTAACACTGCATATAGCTGATTAAATCCTTGTGGTGTCATTTAAAATATTCCTCTCTCCACCTTTATTTCCTGATTTCTATAAGCTGGTCACTGAGTCTAGAGGAATGTTCTGATGGTATTTTGCATTGTTGGTAAGGCAGTCTCATAGGTGGTGGCATGTGATTCCATCAGGAGGCTCACATTGTTGAGTTCTGTCTTTTTAGGACGTCAGTGAACATTGATGATAATTATACTACCCAGATATGTTATTTTATTAAGAATCTGTTAAATAGATTCTCCTGCTATCATTGCTTCATTTATTAACGAGGATACTTCTATAGGGAAAAGTATTCTTACCCACGTTAGGTATTTATTTATTTTGAGGTATGATTGTACAGGAAGCAGTTTAAAATGTATGATTTTTTTCCTTCATATATACCATTTCACAGAATAAGTTGGTTCCCTATTATCCTCTAAATGTGACAATGAGGGTTTTTTTTTTGTTTGTTGTTTTTTATTTTTAGTATTGCTATGAACTCTTTATCAGTGAACTCCTGTTGATGCTTAAATTATCTTAACTTTGGCCTGTGGGAACCTTTTTAAGTTTGTTCCTGAAATCAGTTGGCAAATCTCCAGGAGTCTTTGGATAGCTTCCTTGCTCTGTGGCATGACAAGATGTTCCAGGCTTATTTTATCTAATTTCTGCCCCAGACTGGCAGATTAAAAAGAGCCTGATTATATTTTAGTGGAAATTGTTATTTAGAGACCAGTCTTGTGCTAGGGGTGCTTATTGTCGATTATTGCCACTTACTGTTTCCAAGGCTTTTTAGTAGACAATTAGAGGAAAGACTGTTTTTTTTAATTTATTTTTATTTTTTTTTAAGATTTTATTTATTTATTTCAGAGACAGAGAGAATGAGAGATACAAAGCACGAGAGGGCAGAGGGTCAGAGGGAGAAGCAGACTCCCTGCTGAGCAGGAAGCCCGATGTGGGACTCGATCCCGGGACTCCAGGATCATAACCTGAGCCGAAGGCAGTCGTTTAACCAACTGAGCCACCCAGGCGCCCCAGACTATTTTGTTTTTTTAAAGAAAAACTAAATCATAAATTTATACAACTATTTCCAGTTCAGATAAAGAATTACAGGGCCTTACTTCTTTAATTCTATATTTGTGCCTGCCTTCTCTTATGGTGAAAATCTCAGTTCCTAAGGATGTTAACATAATTGCTTATCTGTTTTGCCTTTTATAATATCTAATACTTTCAGAATAAAAATATCCATATTATAATTAACAATATTTTTACTGAAAACAGATTGAGCTTTCTTTGAAATTCTTTTTTTTTAACTTAATTTATTCATTTATGTAATCTCTACACCCATTGTGGGGCTTGAACTCACTACCCTGAGATCAAAAGTCATATGCTCTGCTGACTGAGCCAGCTAGGCACCCCTCCTTGAAATTCTTTTTGTCTTTAGGGTTATATATTCTACTTGGGTTATATATTCAAATTCTTGTGTTTTAAAGAAATCTTTTAGTTATTATTCTATCACAGTGACACATTTGAATTTTGCTTTTGAAATTTAGGGATTGCTTTTAATTTTTTAAAAATTTAACTTTGTTTTATAATTACATAAAAGATTTATATGGTTCCAAAGCCAAATCTATAAAACAAGATATATTCAAGGGGCGCCTGGGTGGCTCAGTTGGTTAAGCGACTGCCTTCAGCTCAGGTCATGATCCTGGAGTCCCAGGATTGAGTCCCGCATCGGGCTCTCTGCTCAGCAGGGAGTCTGCTTCTCCCTCTGACCCTCTTCCCTTTCATGCTCTCTATCTCTCATTCTCTCTCTCTCAAATAAATAAATAAAATCTTTAAAAAAAAAAGGTATATTCAAGAAATTTAGCTTCTTTCTCTGTCCACTCTGTTTTTCCTTCCTTTGTCCCTGTAGGTAATAGTGTTTTAAAATTTACATTTTATGGTTTAATTTTTCAATTTCCTAAAAAAAATCTAAGGTTTTTTTGTGTGTGTATGTTTGTATGTCTCTGTGTATATACATATATGTATATATGTGTGTATATTGATGTATCTAAATAGATATGTATGTATGTATGTATGTATATATTTGTATTTATATTCTCCACCCTCAGCCCTTGGGTAACTGTAGCATACTACATACATACCCTTTTTTTTTTTTTAGTGAGGGAGAGAGTGAGAGTACGTGTGTGTGCGTGTGTGCGTGTGCACACGTGAGTGGGGGCGGGGAGTGGGCAGGGTGGGTGCAGAGAGAGAATCTTAGGCTCCACTCAATGGGGAGCCCAACTTGGGGTTCCATCTCACAAACCTGACATCATGACCTGAGCCGAAGGTGAGAGCCTGTCACTTAACTGACTGAGCCACCCACGTGCCCCCATACATATGCTTTCAGACATATATATATTCTCTGGATGTGCATATATACACTTTTGTCCACCTTGCTTTTTTTCACTTAACATGTTCTAGAGGTCTGAGTCAGGAACTGTGAATTCTTACTTTAGTTCTACTACTGACATCTTAATGAACTTTCAAAGGTTTGTTGTCTGACTTTCAAAATGGTAATAATGATATTCTAACCTTTCTCAGAGATTTATTTCTAAGATAGGTCAGACAGGGTACATTAATGTGTTTTTAGAAAGTTAACTTCTCTGTGTATAGTGCTGCTATTAGTTTTATAAAATGGTTTACAGAGAGGCTTATTACATTGATTCTTAAGATTCTTCTTAGTAGATAAGGTTAAATTTTAAAAAAAGTTCTGGGGCGCTCGGGTGGCTCTGTCAGTTAAGTGTCTGCCTTCGGCTCAGGTCGTGATCTCAGGGTCCTGGGATCAAGCCCCAAGTCGGGCTCTCTGCTGTCTGCTTCTCCCTCTCCTTCTGTGCTCTCTCTCCCTCTCAAATAAATAAATAAAATCTTAAAAAAATTTTTTTTAAAGTTCTGCATAACTTTTGTGTGTATGTATATATATATTTATATCTATATTTTAAAAGTTTACTTAGTAATGTCTACACCCAAATGGGGCTCAAACTCATGACCCAAGATCAAGAGTCACATGCTCTTCTGACTAAGCCAGCCAGGCACCCCTGTGTTTATATATTTTTTTAATATTTTATTTATTTATTTGAGAGAGAGAGCATGAGAAGGGGGAGGGATAGAGGCAGAGGAGAAGCAGACTCCCCACTGAGTGGGGAGCCCAACATGGGGCTCAGTCCCAAGACCCTGAAATGATTTGAACCAAAGTCAGACACTTAACCAACTGAGCCACCCAGGTCCTTCCTTCCCCCCCACCCCCAGCCCTGTGTTTATATTTTTGACTGTACCAAATATATTACTTGATTGACATTGAACTGCTGAGGAGGGAAATAACATTATCTTAGTTCTTAGTTTAATACTGAGTTTAATTTAGGACTCAAAAAATCTTCAATTCAGGGACATAGCTGCATATATTACTGTGGAATTAACAGGTGTCCTTTCATTTTGACAAATAATAAGTCATATATTCTAAAGAGTATGGAAATTTCAAAATAAAGGCAAACAGAAATGAGAAAACAAAATAATTTATAATCTCACTACTTGAGTTTGACCTCTGGAAGTGATTTGGTCATTCTTCCAGAATTTTATCTCTGTGTATGTGTGTGTGTATTTGTGTGTGTGTGTGTGTGTGTGTGTGTGTTGAGGATGGTGATAAGGGTATTTTGAGCACTCACTGTGCTTCAGCATTATACAGGGGTGCTGTGGTGAATTACAGAGGAAAAAGAAGATGTACTTTGTACGCTTGAAATAATTCTATTATGCACTTCACATATTTACCTCTACTCCCTCTCTGTGTAAAGAAATGTATGGAATTGGTGGAAGAGTATTGGACATAGAAGGTATAAAGTCAAGACTCAGATCCATGAATTCATTAGATGTGTGATCTTGCCAAAGTCATTTAACCCCTGCAAGTACATTTTATTGCTGATAACAGCTCTGTCCCTCATGGAATCAGTATGACTAATATTTGGGATGTCGTTTATATAAAACTATTCAGTGCTATGTGAATGAATACTCTTAATAATGAACACAAACCCAAAACATATTTTATTAATTATGGGTCCTATTATTCACTGTATTTTAAAGCCATGTTCTCATGTTTTTTTGAGAGGTGAAGGTATGATACGCAGGATTATGAGCATTTATCACAAATGCCTTAATAGTTCTCCTTGTAGGCATCAGCAAGTTTATAAGTTTGTGAGGAAGGTGATGGGATTTGTATTTACTACTATACTGTATATGTCTGTACTATGGAGTTAGACTTCAGGTATTGCTAACATGTAACATGTATAAAGTGTGGTTTCACATGATTTCAGAGGAGAATAATTGACTTTTTTTAAATGTAGGATCTATTTGGAAAGTCAGATCCATACCTGGAATTCCACAAGCAGACATCTGATGGAAACTGGCTAATGGTTCATCGAACAGAGGTGAATATCAGAATTTGAAAAAGTAGAGTTGAGGTTTCCATTGTAGTTGAGGTAATCTAAATTTTTAAAAATTATGTATTTATAAAAAATATCAATCTGAGTTCAGACATGTAGAGCCAGAGATACAACATCAACAAACTCATTTTTTTTTCTTTTCATGTGGTGGTGCTACTATGCTGAACTACTAGTAAAATTTTATTTTGAAAAATTTAAAACCCTGTAAAAAGCACTAAGATGTATACCTGTGTATCCTTCACTTAGATTTAGCAACTGGCCATACCTGCATGTGTGTTCTTTCTCTCTCACTCACATACACACACAGACACACATATATACATATGCAGACATACACGCATATACTTCCCGTTTGCAAAACTATTTTATTTTAATTTAATTTAATTTTTAAAGATTTTATTTATTTGACAGAGAGAAACACAGCGAGAGAGGGAACACAAACAGGGGGAGTGGGAGAGGGAGAAGCAGGCTTCCCGCCAAGCAGGGAGCCCAATGCGGGGCTTGATCCCTGGACCCTGGGATCATGACCTGAGCCGAAGGCAGACGCTTAACGACTGAGCCACCCAGGCGCCCCTGCAAAACCATTTTAATGTAGGCTGCAGAGATCATGATTCCTCACCTTAATACTACAGCAGATTTTTATTAATAACAAGGGCATTCTCCTATACAATCACACCTGAGAGTTTAATTTAGGACTCAAAATTTATAGCATCACTCAGTATATCATTTAACTTCAGATTTCCCCAGTTGTCCCACACATGTTTATATACACACACACATATATACACATATACATAGATATACACACATATATACATATATATATATATCCATATATTTTTGTCCAGGATCGATTCAAGTTTCATATTTTGCATGTGTTTCTTACGTTCTCAATATATAAGATTCTTCTCCCTATCTGCCTTATATTTTCATGCCATTGAATCTCCTGAATAATCAAAACATACTGTCTAACATTCTGAGTCTTCTGTTTCCTTATAATTGTATCCAAATCAAACAATTCCATCAAGAACATTATGTGTTCTTGCTCTGTATCATCAGAGGACCCATGATATCAGGCTGTCCAGTACTGATGTTGCCAACCTTGTCTACTTGGTTAAGCTGGTGACCACCAGCTTGCCATGATAAAGTCCCATTTTTTCCCTTTTGTAATTAATAAGTGATCTGTGGTGTGATACTTGGAGACTGCATGATTAAACTGTTCTTTAGCTTATCACCTGTCTATTGATGATCCATACCTAGATCAATTTTTATATTAGGGGTTATGAAATAGTGATTTTTTTCTTTTTTTTTTTTAAGATTTTATTTATTTGACAGAGAAAGACACAGAGAGAGGGGGAACACAAGCAGGGGGAGTGGGAGAGGGAGAAACAGGCTTCCCGCAGAGCGGGGAGCCCGATGCGGGGCTCGAACCCAGGACCCCGGGATCGTGACCTGAGCCGAAGGCAGCCGCTTAACGACTGAGCTACCCAGGCCCCCCAATAGTGATTTTTTTCTAAATCTTTCATCCCTTTACATATGTTAACAGATACTCCTCTTTCATCTCTTTTCTTGCTTCCTTTTTTATTTTTAGTAGACTCATGACTGTTAACACAGTGTATTCATTGTGTTATAATTCATTACTGTCATCATTTTTGCTGTTCAAATCAATCCAGATTTGGCCAGGGAGAGTGACATCAAAAGGCTTCTGGGTTCTTTTAACATAACCCCATTAGTATTTAAGCATTCTTTTATTTATTTATTTATTTATTTATTTATTTATTTATTTATTTATTTATTTTTTAAGTTTATTTATTTTTTTTTAAGTAATCTCTACACCAAACATGGGGCTTAAATTCACAACCCTGAGATCAATTATACTGCTCTGACTGAGCCAGCCAGGTGCCCTCATTCTCTTACTTTGTATTAAAGTATATTCTCGGGGCACCTGGGTGGCTCAGTCGTTAAGCCTCTGCCTTCGGCTCAGGTCATGATCCCAGGGTCCTGGGATCGAGCCCCGCATCAGGCTCCCTGCTCAGTGGGGAGTCTGCTTCTCCCTCCCCCACTCCTCCTGCTTGTGTTCCCTCTCTCACTGTCTCTCTCTCTCTCTATCAAATAAGTAAATAAAATCTTAAAAAAATAATAAAGTATATTCTCAGGTCACCTTATGCTCACTCTGTCCCAGGTCTGGAATGGGCCCTTTCTCTTGGAACCCTATTCCTTTAAGGGAGTAGTGCTAGATATGCTCATAGCTACTGAGATGTCATTTCATTTATGTCTTTTCGATGGACATAGCTGGGAAACGTGTATTTGTGTTTATTATGTGTATGTATATTTACAAAAATTTTAAATCACAAATTTAGACTATTTCTTCCATTCAAGTCCAACCCAGCAAGGTTCTTTCTCATCGTTTCTTATTCCAAATTTGAATCTTCTTTGTCATACAATGAAAACCCTGGTTTCCAACAAAATCAACAATCTGTAGTTTCTAAGTTTACCTTGATATGGGTGAAATATATTTTCCAAGTAGTTTCTTTTCTTTTCTCAGAATGTATCTATCTCATTTTTCTTCTAACACTTGTATAATATTGTCCTAGATAGCTTTTCATTGAAAAAGTTGACTGGGTGAAAAGGTGAAGGATGATTGATGAGAGTGTAGCAAGAATCTAGGGAAAGGAAGAGCAAAATATTAATGGACTGAATGTTTTTCTAACTAGTCTTTGAACCTTCATTTTATAGGTTATTAAAAATAACTTGAATCCTGTTTGGAGGCCTTTTAAAATCTCTCTGAACTCCCTGTGCTATGGAGATATGGACAAAACGATCAAGGTAATTTAAAGTTATATATATTTTATATATACACACATACATGTCTTTCATAAAACTAGTTGATTAGATAGTATTTCATAGAAGTAAATGATCTAATAGATCCCTGTAAGGATTGAATTTTATTTGTATTTAGGAATATTAAAATAGAAATGTCTCTGGTAAGTAAATGGTCAGTTTGAAGGGTCGACACGTTTGACTGATCTGTTCCTAATGCTTAATCAAAAATTATGATTTTTATTTTACTCTTCATTTTTAAAAATAAAATGTCCAATTTAAATCTTTCCTCCCTTTAATTAAAGATTCCTTTGCTCTGCAAATAGGAACCTTTAACTGCCCTCTTTGCCTTTGGTGTGCCCCTTGCAGATAAAAGCAGATTTACTTGACTAAAAACCCAGAGCTTCCTTCTACCATCAGCAGTAGAGGAGAATAGTGGTGGCATTTTCCATCGCTTATTTTCAGAGCAGGATATTATTCATTGAAAACTTCTATATGGCTTTAGTATAAAGTATTAGGAAAGCAGAGTGGGAACAGGAAGTAGCATGTCTGAGAATTTTTTTAACGTTTTAATTTGTAGCCATTTATTAGAAAATATTTATTATTTTTAAGACACATTATCCTAGAGTCTCTTTACATAAGATTCCAGATAGAAACCTCTTCTTGTGTTTACTTGTCAGCAAACCAAAGTGGAGTTTGTTTTTGTTTTTGTTTTCTTTTGGTAATGAATACGGTAAAAACAGGAAAGGTGATGGCACGGAGCACAGGATTTTGTGTCAGGCTTAGGCCTTCAACCAGGTAAGGGATCTTGGGCAGGTCATCTAACTTCTTCACTTATACAGTAGAGAAAATAATGTCTAGATTACCAAAAAGGGAAGGATTAAATTAATGAAAGTGAAAGTTTTACAAACCATTATACATAGGACAGATACTGTTACATTGAAAATGGCTTCATTCCTTAGATCCAAAAAAATTTGTCCTCAGTTGGCAGAGAACTTTAAAGATTAATATAAGTACAATTTATGTGTTATTTCAAACAGCAGTGAAAATTTAGATAAAAAATAAATAGAACAGTAGTTTTAAAAATTACTTTCTATTGTTATACTAAATCTAGAACTTTTGCTTTTCACATTAAAAATAATAAGTTGAAACTTTGTTAGATCTGAGAAACAGGAAAGGCTGGGGAAAAGAAATGCCTAAACCATAACTGATTGCTTGTAATAATGTGTTAACAATGAAACAATGTTTTTTAAACGTTTTTTGCACACAGTGGCATGCTTACAGGGCTATTTTATTATAGTAAGTAAACTGATTTTCTGAGCTTTCTCTGATGAATGTCTTCCGTTCTTAAAACTTGCTCAGTTTGTTTTAACCATACACAACTTGGTTTGCCACGTCATGACTGTCTTTATTTCTTTAGTGCTGTATTTCTTTGCAATATCACAAAGTCATACATCTGTGATTCTCTTGGTGTTTGGAAATCATTTAGAGGTGTGGAAAAGAGTTTTAGAGCAGAGGATAGAGTCAGAATCATCAATAGTTTTTTTGTTGCTGTGTGAACGTGCCAGTGTTATCGCTCCAGCATGTATTATTATTCTCATAAGATCAAGTGAGTAAAAGAAATAATCATGCATGTTGCCACCTTGCCTAAAATGGGAATGCCTTCCTTAATGAATGTAGTGTTGTGTGGTGTGTGCATTCTTTTACATATATACATATGTGTATATGTATATATGCATATATTTCAATGTCACAAGCACTGCTGATATTGTATCAGTGTTTAAAACAGCCAATAGTATTAGTTTTTGAATTTTTGAGAAGAGAAATTAAATAACACAAATCATTACATCATTTACTTCAAACTGTATCTGAACATAGGCCAGCATCACATCTTTCTTTAGCACTGAATGTTTGTCTTCAATGGGGCAACGATGAATTTTTCCTATATAGTTATTAGAGTGAGCTATCAGAAATTCCAACTTAAAAATCTTTTTACATTCCCTGTAGTCTTAGTCAGTCTAAACATATGAAGGGTTTTAGGTGTTCATATGCTTTTTTAAAAAATAAAATTGGCCTTATCAAAGCTTGATCTTGTCTTAGATAGAAGTTGGAGTTTCCTGAATGCAAATCTAAAGTGCAAAGTTCAGGGGCACCTGACTGGCTCAGTTAGTAGAGCATGCTACTCTTGATCCCAGGGTGGTGAGTTCAAGCCCCATGTTGGGTATAGAACTTACTTAAAAAAAAAAAAAAAAAAATCAAGTTCTATTTTCCATAGTTAAAAAAAAAATCTATTAAAAGTGCAATCATGAAAATATTAAGATTGCTTTGGTTTTATCTTAATTTTACTTTCTCTGGAAAAAATTAGTAAGATCATTGATTTTCTTTTCCCCTCACAGTTTGAAGAGTCAGATAAAGGGACTTTGGTTTAAAAATTAAATATCAGATATATAAGGCAAGAATCAAAGTGTCATAATTGGTCAGTGACCAAACTGTTTACAAAAAATAAAAGTCTTTTACAGTTACTCAAAATCGCAATTCTAGACCTTGTCTTTATTGATTGATTTTTAGTCTCCCTAGAATAATAATGAAAATATTAGTAAGGAATGAAACACTTCCTGTTATGATAGGCACACCGTTCACTTCTCATAGAACTGCAAAGAAAATAAATCACTTTGCTTGGTGAACACATAAATCCTAAGCATTTTAACTTGGCAATTAATAAAACTTTGTAAAGGATACTCTCTTGGCAAATAACTCTCAGTTACAGGCTTTTATTTTAAATCTCTAGAAGAATTCAAAAGTGTCCTTAGCACAGCTTTATTTTACCTATGTTGGTTACCAAATAAAACATACCATCTTCTGGGGCGCCTGGGTGGCTCAGTTGGTTGAGCGACTGCCTTTGGCTCAGGTCATGATCCTGGAGTCCCAGGATCGAGTCCCACATCGGGCTCCCTGCTCAGCGGGGAGTCTGCTTCTCC